CTGTGTGTGAAACTGTGGTGCAGATGCAGAAACTGCTGATCTTCCACATAGTCTTAGCAAAAATCTGTGCCATGCCCCGTCGGACTCAGCCTATAACTTATGTCACTGGCAGCAGAAAGATCCCATTGCGATGGCCAAGATTTTTAACATTGACTAGTGGTTTGGGGTACCTCGTCTGAGACGCCTTAGAGGGCCTTGATCCTCAGAGGGTGGGTGCTTAGCAGTTGGGCCCCTTTTAAGGGGTCTTAATTTGAGAGCCCCAGAACCGAGGCACCCAAATTCACCAGTCGCTTTTGGAAAGCCGCACCTGATCTCTACTTTGTCACATCTAAGGTGGCACGTGCCACGAAGAGCAGCTTCAAATCTTCCCTTGTTTTGTAAATGGAGCACATCCCCTCGGGAAGTTTATTGCGAGTGTCTGTGTAACCCCGCAATGTCATTGGTAGCATTGCTTTTCAGAGCACGGTCGCCCTTTGATCTCTTCATTAAACGGGGGAAAGAAAGCAGGCAGATGATTCTGGGCGGCCGCAGCTCCCCTGCGCGCTCAAGTCCCCCGGCAGCGGAGAGTTCCCTGGCGACACTTGCGTCCCTTCTTATCTTTGTTTCTGTTTAACTCCACCAGCCACTGCAGCAAAAAAAAAAAAAAAAAGTTTAATGGAAGAAAAATTCATTTGAAATCTTATTTGAATGCCTGGATTCCCCCAGGCTGGAAGGAGTTTTGATTCTCTTGTTTTTAACAGTTTGTTTTTTTTATCTGGGATGCCTGCGGGGAAATCCTGTAACCACCAGTTAGGAATAAAAACGCATTAAAGCCTCATGTGAAGAAATGTTTTGTTATTTCTTTTCCTTTTTTTTTTTTGCTGCCGCTGCTCGGGCCTGGCTCTCTCTGCTCCGTGCTGCAGTCAAGAGCTCAGTGCGTGAGCGAAGGTGAATAAGCGCAAAGAGCTGCTCTTAGTCCTTGGAAATGCATTTCCTTGTGGCTAACGTTGGTTCCACCCGTTAGGTTCATTGGGAGCAGATGAGCCATATGCATTTTAAACCCCGTTGATCAAATCTGCTGTTCATCCTTTAAAGCTCAAAGCCAACGTTTCTCAACTTTTTTGATAGCAGGGACCGGCTTGCTGCCTTCCTAAAGTGTCAGGGAGATCTCAGGGACCAGAGCTGGTCCACAGTGTTGAGAAACATTGATCTAAACAGTCTAGTCAACGGAGAAGTGCTAGATTCCAGCGTAAGTGCTCATCACAGCTGATAGGGAGTATGTTTGTGTCAACACATCAAAAGCCTTGAATCCAGCTAGTGCGGGTAACCATAGCAGTGACAATAGCACAACTAGCAAGATGAGGGTGTACTCGGGATCCGCTCCGGGCTCGCACGATCCATCCTGTTCTGTGTCTGCTGCTAGCCACATTTAAATTAGCACAGGTAGGCCTACCCCTTGCACAGGTGTTGCTGTGTAGATGTACCTGTAGAGGGAACCTTTCCCCTGTGGTGTCTGTCTCAAGGGGTTTGTGCTGACACTCGTCTCTGTCCTATAGGATGACCGGCTGCATTCAGTAGCATAATCCTTAGTCAGCCCAGTGGAGTAGTAGGTGTCCTGCTTCCGACGCCCATGTTGGATTTGGATAACTGAGCGTAACGGAATGGAATTGAGAAAAGGGAAACTCTGGCTGGAATATTGGGCCTTCCGGCTGCCTTTCCCCCTTTTTCCTTGCGTCGGTTAGAACTGACTGGGCAAAGCCGTTCTGCCCCGACAGGAGGAGGAGCAAGGCCCAACAGGTTTATCATGCGTGAAATCAGAGACTGCAAAGCCCTGTGGGGTGGCGGTGGGACCCCTCTCGACTGGGGATGGTCCCTACGGTACGCTGGAGCGTGGTGTCCAGTCTGTATCCCGTTGGATACCTCCCTAGTCTCTGAACAGCTTCTCTGTAGCTGGCTGAGTTCTGCAAGGGCTGCCTCTCAGCTGCTTTTCTGGTTACACCCAGTCATTAGCCAGGGGGCTAGTGTGGCTACTCGGAGATTCAAGCAGTGCCTGCATGTTAACCCTTTTGTGACCAGAGCAGGGAAGTTCTTAGCGTAAAAGACTGTCGTCCTCCGCGGCGGGGAGGTATACAGCTCTCAGCTAGGGTTTAAGTGGCCCGATGAAAGCCTTGTTAATGATCTTTCGCCCGTCAGTTACTCTATCCTGCTTTATTGATCTGAGATGTAAAGTAAGCTACAAGAAATAAAGACTCACTGACCGCTGCTCCTAAACCAGGAGCTTTGGCTGCTGGGAAGGATCCAGGTCCAAGTGAGGCTTTTGCATGCATGTTCCATGTAGCCTGATCCCAAAGTCCAGAAGCTGTCTCCAGGAACGGGGGTGTTTGAGCAGAGAGCGACTATGAACCAAGCGCTGGGGAAGAAGTGCAGAAGGCTTAGGCTAGGTCTACACTACAGCGGGGTTCCGACCTAAGATACGCAACTTCAGCTACGTGAATACCGTAGCTGAAGTTGCGTATTTTAGGTCGGCTTACCTGGCGGTGAGGACGGGGGAAAGTCGACCGCTGCCGCCGACTCCGCTGCCGCCTCTTGCCGAGGTGGATTTCCGGAGTCGACGGCAGAGCGATCAGGGATCGATTTTACCGCGTCCTCATGAGACGCGGTAAGTCGATCCCTGATAGACCGATTGCTACCCGCCGGATCGGCGGGTAGTGAAGACATACCCTTAGTCTGATGGCAAGAGCTGGGGGCTGGTAGGGGCCTGTTTCATTCTCATGTTTGGCTCACACCCCGTAAGTTGGGAATATCTCTGCTGATTTGAACAGAGTTGTACTGGGGTCAGCCATGCGCAAGAGAGAATATTGAGGCCAGTGGGGCCAGAGACCTCTCGCTAAGCCTTGCGGAGATCCCAAGCAACGTCTTGTGCCCGCTGTGTTCCATCTGGTCCTGTTATAAAGGAGGCTGGGCCTGATTCACAGGGTGGTAGCGCAAAGAAGTGGAGGGGCGGAGTTATGCTAAATAACTTAACAAGGCTTAGAGCTGGGGTGGGCAAGAGGGTCAAACTCCAAACCGGGGAAAACTAAGCTAAACCTGTCCTGGCCGTGCGATGGATTCAGCTGTAGAACAGATAGCCAATGGAAACGCAAGGGGGGAATCACCATCATTTGGCACATTTAAAAACTAGGCTGGGCGAACCCTAAGCAGGGTGCAATACGGCATTGCCCTCTTAGTCAGGGAGAGGGCAGGCAGGTACCTGCTTTGACCCTTCTCTGGATTCTGTGGGTATGTCTACACTGCGGTGAGACACCCAACTCCTCCTCGTGGGGCTGTTGAACTGCAGTGTAGATGCTCTGGCTTGGGCCAGAGCCCAAGGTCTGGGGCCCTCCCACTTTGCAGGGTCCTAAAGCCTGGGCCCGATGTCTACACTGCAATTAAACAGCCCCTTCGCCTGAGCCCCGGTAGCCGAGCTAGCTTCAATCTAGCGAGAGTGGCTAAAAATAGCAGTGTCGATGTGGTGGCCTGGACCCCAGCGCTGGCTAGCAGTGTGCGCCCAGGGTTGTGGGGGGGCTGGTGCAGCCCACACCAAATTAGTGTCACCCCGTCTTCACTGCTATTTAACCAGGCTAGCTAGATTAACGCTCGCTCGGGTATGCCTGCCTGTGCTGCAATTACACCTCTGGTTGCAGTGTGGACCTCCCCCAACCCTCCATCCCCTGTGCATTAAAGGTGAGATGAAGGTGCCTGATCTTCTGGCCGCAGGTGGAAAGGGAAGGATCCATTCTGGGAGCGATAGGGTGGCTGGAAGGATCTGTTCTTCAGAGAACGTCCTGGGCTTGTTTCATCTGAACAGCTCCTGTTAGCTCGTTGGGTCGGCTGAGGAGCTCTGGTTGACTTTCCTCCTTGTGTTGGAGGAGGAGCGTTGCTGGCAGAAGTTTCTCTAGTTGTAGAAGTTCCTCTGTCTTGTCCATCAGAGACAGGTCTCCTGCAGCAATTAGGGCAGCTTCCCCCCTAAGGTGCATAGGGGTTCGGGGGGGTGTGGGTGCAGCTACTACCCATGGTTGGCTGGGCAAACCAGTGTTCCAGGCCAGGGCGTCTGGGCAAGGCACATACTTGGGAATGGCCGTCTAGAAAATGACTAAATAAGACACATGAAATGCGCGGTCACCATGGAAGGAGCTGCTGGACTCAAGGGTGAGACTCTCCCGGAGCCCTGCGTTCCCCAGGCTAGTTCTGAGCCACGTATGATGATCTTGCAAATATGATCTGTCCCCACCCTGGCTCGCTGTTAAAACAATAGCAGGGAGGGGACGGAAGAGGCGGCTTGGAGAAAGGTAGGAAATAAAAGCAGAGAAGCCGTGTCGTGAGGAACGTGTGATGTTAGCTCATGGCTTCTAGTGTGTCCTCGGCTATAAATGATCCTGGGCCAGCACCCTTGAAAGTTGGATACTGATGGTAATATCACAGCTGCTGATCTCTGCTCCTGTCCGTAAATGGGCTGCGCTATTGGTTAATCGCTGGACTGGGACTTAGGAGATGTGGGTTCTCGTCCCAGATCATCTACTTGGGCATGTCACTCAGACAGCTGAGCCTTCGTTCCACGTCTGTGAAATCGGGCTGATGCTAGCACAGGGCACTGTAGGGATAAATACATTGCTTTGCAAGGTGTTCTTGTGCGGTAGTGCTGGAGGCCATGTAACTACTTCAGTGGGATCTGCACTCCCCGAACTGGAGGGCAGGGAGCACTTTAAAACCCAGCTCCCAGTGGTGTGGCTTGGGGCCAGTTTCTAATTCTTTGCCGAATGGGTACATTGTTTCTCGAAGAAGCAGGGCTTGAAACCTTTTTTTTTTTTTTTTTTCTTGGTGCGATGAGCAAAGACCCCTTCTAGCGCTTACAGACAGCTGGGGCTCTGATCGCCTCGGCTCTGCGTGTTTGGAGGCATTCGGGGAGCGCTGGGTGGGAGGGAACGGTCTATATGAAGACCTACAAAGCTGTTAACTTCCCCTGCCTGCTCCGCTTGCCACAGGGGAGGAGAACCAACCTGGATGGCTGTGTCCTGACGAAGACAAGAAAAGCAAAGCTCCCTTCTGGTGTCCCATCCTGGCGTGCCACGTACCTGCCTTCTCCTCCAATGCCCTCGACCTGCAGGTAAGAACCCAGCATCACCCTTTCTCTTCTCCTCTCCCCCAGGCTGTTCGGATGCCGAGGAGAGCAGATTTGAGGTAGGCTGTTAGACTGCCCCACGTTAATGCATTGCCCCGGCTCCGTCTTTCCGGTGCCTCTCTTTGCTGCTTGTAAGGGACATGGGGACCGGTGCCCCGGTCAGTGCTACTAAGTAGGAGACTGGGGGTTTTCATGTCACTTTGGGAGACGCTAACAGGAGAAGGTGAAGGAGGGTTTCTTGGTCTCGGAGGATTGGACGCCTCTACTGTGGGACTGGTCCCCGGTGGTAGAATCGGGGCGAGTCCTTGTGTGGTTTTTATGGCTAGATGCTAGCAAAAGAGAGGATGGTGGCTCAGGGAAGTGAGGGGAGTCTCTGGAACTGGACTGCAGGCCAGTGGAAATTCTAGGTGCTGGGTCGCTGCTGGCTCACCTGTCACAGGTAAGCCTGCCCTAGGTATTGTGGTCAGCTTGCTCAGACCACGGGCGGTGGTTGGCTGATGGTGCAGAAGTGCCTAGGACCCCCACCGTGCTAGGGCTGTACGAACACAGAACCAAAAGCCAGTCGCTGCCCCGGTGAGCTGGCAGTCTAAGTAAATGGCACAACCTTGGCACGGTGTGATACGAGCCTGGCGACCTCCCAAGTTAGGAACGCATGGACAGCGACGGTCCCCCTGCGGGTACGGCAGTGGACTGGCCGTCAGAGATCCTGGCTCTGCCACTAACTCACTGAATGACTTTGGGCAAGAGACTTAATCTCTCTCTGCTCCGTTCCCAGCGTGGGGATACCAGCCCGTCATTTCTGCTCCCTTGGTCTGGGCTTTTCCCCACTGTGATCTCCTCGGGGCAGGGACAGTCTGTCCGTAGATGGATGGACAGCACCTAGCGCCATGGGCCTCTCATCTCAGTTGGGGCCTCTCAGCACAACCAAGATAACAGGCAGCCACATTTGCCTATCCATGGGGATACCGTAGCGGGATGCTACAAACGACCCACGTTAAGTGGGTGGATGCAGCGTTTCGGGAAACAAGCCAGTGATAACCACTCGAAAGCTCCCGGTAGTTCTTGCGCGCACAAACCAGTGCAGGGATTAAAGACCGACTGAATCACCACCGCAGCTCTTACTTAGTGACCCGCTTTCTTCCGGGGCTGTCCTGGGAGCTCAGGGCGTGATCTACCGGCCGGCCTTTCCTTGCAGCATGCTGCTTTCCCGACGACAAAACCGGTTTGGTCTTGGCTGCCTTGCCGCACTCTTTACAACACCCCGTCTCTGCTTCTCTCCTGACTGCTGTGTGGGGTGGGAGGGCTTGAAGGTTGGCTGCAAAACCCTGCTGATCTGCTCAAACAGCCACTCAAAACGCCCATGTGGTGGTCCTGATCCGCCTGCCTTGCTCCTGGAGTTGAACTGCTGCAGGGCTGCCGGGAGGTGCTTAGGCGCAGGGGGAGGTGCTGATCTGCAGGGCTGCCAGTGGGTGCTTTTTTCCCCAGCCCTGGAGCACCTGCAGGAGTCGGTCGCTTGGTGCCTCAGATATAGGGCGTGGATCAGGCAAGGTCCTGGGGAGACTGGGAGGGGTGGACTCTCCCAAGCCCCCTGCAGGTTCAGTGCAGCGACACAGGCACGTGCTATGGAGAGGGCATAAGAGGCTGGTGGCTTCGGGGGATGGTGGCCAATTAACCCTCCCAGTAGCCTTCTGAGGAGGTGAGTCACATCCTCATGGGGAAACTGAGGCACGGCGTCTCCGTGGCAATGCCAAGAATAGAACCCAGGAGTTCTGTCTGGACAGTGCTGTCTCTGGTGCGTCATGGCTAACGGGTGTTAGCTAAGCATGGCTTCAGGCACCCGCCTGTCTCCTCTTGCTTCCGTTTCAAGAGGCGTGGCCAGTACCAGCCCCCCAGCCTCTCTCCTCCCACCCCAGCTTCCCTGTTGCCATTCGTGACAGAAGTAACACAATCACCGCTCCATCGGCGGGATGAATTAGGGTTCCCCAGAGCTGGGGGGTTTCATCCAATTACCGACAGTAACAGATGTGATGTTGTCGAGCCGCCGGCTCCCTTCCCCGTCCCGCAGTCGGCTCCGGCGGGAGCCTGGAACACATTCCTTCTGGAGCCCTCGCTGCCGTGCTGGCTAATTAGACCAAATGGCGGGTTGTCTCTCTCCGGGGGGGAGCAGGGCTGTGTTTGTTTTGCAGGCACGGTGCTTTCTTATCAGCCCTGCCATAGATTCTGCTCTGTGCAGTTGTTTTTTTAAAATGCTAACAAGGGCACCAGCTGGAAGAGGACAACGCTCCTTCTTCTTCTGTCTTTAATCTACAAAGTTCCTTTGCCGTGGTAACATCCTTCCCTCCTGTCCCCGTGGAGTCTGCGTCGCTTTCGGGGTGTCCTCTGACTTCAAACACTTACCCGAATCTCACTGGGGTCCCAGGAGCTGGGGGACCTTCCAGTCTCTTTCCGCGGAGCCTTAAACGTTCCAGATCCCGCACCAAATTCAGGCCACCCCCCCCCGGTTCTCCCCCCTCCACCTTGCTCTACCAGCGGCGAATCATCACTGCTCCAGCTCCTTCGCGAAGCGGATCGTAGTCGGTGCCAACGGGGAGATGGCCTCGGTCCCTTCTGGGAAAGAATCCAGGCTGGCCCTGTGCGTGCTGGTGCCGAGACAAGTCTCCCGCTCCGTGGATGTACTTGGAACGTGGAGGCGGGGAGGATGTGTCCGGGGGGGGGGATTTCTCTGTACCCACTCGCTCCCCTGGGGGGCTACAGGAGGAAATGGAGCGACTCCCAGCTGGCAGTGCCCAAATGCTTGCTGGGCTTCTCCGCAGTGGAAGATGCCAAAGGGACATGTTGTCGTTTGAGGATGGGGGGGATATTGAAGCCAAGGGCAAAAAGCATGTGACCCAGCGTTGGTTGCACTGCAGCAAACTTCCTGCAAGGGTTCCCGTGCGGGACCGGTGCCGATCCCAGCGAATCTGTGCCCGGGCTCTGCGTGCCTCCCTGTGCTGAGGGATTCGATCGTCGGCAAAGGCCTTGACTTCTCCACCCTTCCCATTCCCTCCCATCCCCCACTCTCCTGGCCCCTCTGCACGAGCTCCTTGCATCCCCGTCTGCCACCTGATCCAGGCAGCTCCGTACAGCCCCCTCCCGGCTCCATCTACGAGAGCGACTTCTCCAGCCCGTTCCTAGCAGATGGGCTGCGTCCCGGTGAATAAATAACGTCAGTCAATTAAAACAAGGCTAGAAAGGCCCCCATGAGAGGCTAACCGGGGCGCTCATTAAAGGGCTAAATGCCATCGGCAAAGGCTGTAGTCATGGGCGATGGGGTGAGGTGCCCTCATCCGTGTGCCCTGGAAGAGCAGCAGGGTTGCCAACCTCCAGGATTGAAGGATGGTCATGTGCTGAAACCTCCAGGAATACGTCCAGCCAAAATTGGCAACCCTAAAGAGCAGTTACTGCCCTGGAGCTCTGAGCAAGAGCTTGCTGGTTGTGCCAAGTGGCCGGCTTTGCCAAGAGCATCCATCCGTCTCCGATGCGCTGGCCGGAGCAATCTGTTGTGGGCCTCCCGCCCCCTTTACCTGTCCAGCTGCAGGTAAACCGTGTCCAGTTCTTGGCTTCTTGGGCCCTTTGTGGAAGCCCTGCAATACGTGAGCCCTGGCCTAGCGACGGGAGCCGTGTCGTGGGGGCTGCCCAAATTCGTCCATGTGCCCACTGGGAACAGCAAGCGGGAGGACGGGGAGGTGCAGTTCAGTGTCTAGGGATGGGCCAGCTATGGGGCAAATCTTGCCTCCATGCCCCACGGTTCCGCTCTGGGAACCATCCCATGGGCTTCACCCTCCCTCGAGGGTTTGCTGTGTTCTGGGCTTGTAGGAGATGCACCCAGTCAGCAACTCCCTCAACCTCATCCCTCGCCAGCCGCCACCACCAACGCTTTGGGCTGGGCTGCTCTCCGCCATCCTTGCAGGCCCTGCGGTGCTGCCAGATCCTGCCCTTGCTGGGCTATCTATTGTGTGGGGGCACCCTACGCACCAGTCCCTGTCTGCAGCTGCCTCCAGGCACCGGGGGAATGGATCCCTGCAGGTGATGGATGACTTCGCCCAAACCGCAGCAGGTTTAGGGTCAGGCATGTCTAAACGCTCCCCTGAGTGTGCCCTCTGTGTGTCTCCTCTGCTGCGTTTTGCTGCCAAAAACAAGGGTTTGCTGCCCTTAGAGCTGTAGCGTTAGCACAGCTATGGGAGAGCGAGCTGGTGCTTTGTCCTGACTTGCATATCAGCCGTTCTGGGCCTCGCTCTGTGAGGTTAAGAGGGAGTAAAGATGCATCTCTGTCTGTCTGCATGCGTGCATATCGATCCCAGGCTGACTGGGGGGGCAGAGAAAGCAGGAAAAGTCCCACGTTTGTCTTAGTCAGGGGAGTCAGTTTGCTCTGATCGTTGCGGAGGGAATCGAGATGTAAAAGAGAATTTGGGTCTATAGCTCCCCACTCGCTCCGAGAACGATTGTGGGTTTTGCAAAGGCAAAATAGTCTAGTGGTCAGAGCAGGGAACTGGGAGCCAAACAAAACTTGTCTGGTTTGTGCCACGAGAGTTCATCTGAAACTCCTGCCTCTGAGGCTGATCTACCTGCGTTTCCCTCCCCCTGCCCCACGCCCAAGGTATTGATCTGTGGTTTGGAAGAGCTCCAGAGCTCAGCTGTAACTGTAGGAGGCTCATTCGGTTCCATAATGGAACCTTCAGACAGGACGCCTGGCTCCATTCCTGGCTTGGCCACGAGCTCGCTGCGTGACCTTGAGCAGATCGCTTTGGGCGAGACTTAAAAAAAGCCCCCGTGATTGATCCTGACCTGTGATCCCGAGTCTCTTAGCCCTGGGCCTGTCTGTGATTCTGTTGCCCCATCTGTTAATAAGGCTACCTACCTGCACTCCTTTCCAAAAGGTTGTGATCTGAACACGCGGAAGCGGGGTTGCTAAGATCCGAGGCAGGTTTTGAGATCTTGCATGAGGGCTGTGTGCCGGACAGTGGCTGTTCTTCTTCTCCCTTCCACCTCGCCGCTACAGCTTCCGTTCAATTGAGAGCTCTGTAAATATCCCATGCTCCTGTCGAGAAGCTGGCTATGGAAAACCAGACTTCAAAACAGTGTCTCTAAAAATGGCTCTTCAAAATCCCCCGTGGCCAGAGCAGGAGGAGAAGAATCGAGCGTTTGATGTCTCTGCGGGCCAGTGAAATGTCCAGGCTTGTGTGCAAACCATAGCTGGCTCTGCCGGGGGGCTGGGGGAGTGGGGTTGCTGGCGGATCGCAGGGCAGAGGGCCATCTTCTCTACTTTGACGGCTCGTAATTGTGCAGCCACGCCGCTATGGTTTGGGGAGCATGTGATCGAATTCCACTTCTCAGCACGTTGGGGTGCAGACGGGCGGTGGAGGGGGTCAGGGCGGGGAGAGCGTTTTGGCTCTTGCTCGTATGATGCTTCCCAGCAAAGCGCTGTCCAGGCCTCGATTGATGGTGTCGTGTCCCCGTCTCTCTTCTAGCTTGGAGCCGTGGTGCACAATCCTGTCCAGTCCTCGCTGCTGGGCTTCTCTGCCGTGAGCACCTCCCTCCCGCAGGGGTACCTGTGGGTGAGTACGGGCTGAGCCGGCCTGCGTGGGCTCCTGAGTGTCGAAGGCGAGAGCCTCCCGCTAATCCCAGTCGGGGCTCGCCCTCGAGGACCCGAATTAGCTCAGGCTTGAGGTGCTCAGATACCCCGGTGATGGGCAGGAGAGCGAAGAGGAGAGATGCTTTGTAAGGGATTCCACCAAGGTCATTTTCCTGGTCAATCCAGGCTAGCACGCGACTGGCACTGTTGGCCAGTGTCAGATGGGAGGGGGATTGGCAGCAAGGGAGTGGGCAGTGAAATGCCACAGCCCCAGTTAGGCCTGGGCCTGGGGTTTTGGTTCCTTGCATGGAAATCAGATGTTCAAGCAGGGCCGTGCGCGAACTACCCAAAGTATTGCAGTAATTAACCCCCTGGGTACTGCCTTGTGTCTGCGGCACATGGGGTACAGGCCCCCCTGCTCCACCCGCCGATGCTCCTTTAAGGAGATCCTGTGCACTTCCTAGAGCTTGCAGACCAGGAGGGGCCGTTCCGATCAGCCTGACCCCCCCGCCCAACCCCTGGCCAGAGAGCCTGACCCAGAGTCCTGCACGGGAGGAGCTGCCATGGGTGTGGTCCAAGCAGCTTGTCATCCCAGTCTCCACCCTATGGCAAAGCCGGGGGAGAAAATGGGGCCCCCTGTTGTTTGCAGTGGTGATGAAGGTGTCGGGGGTGGGGGAATATTCCAGCCTGCAGGGGCAGAAGTTAAAAGCCCCTCTGGGTGGCTTCCTGCATCCCCACAGGTTGGAGGAGGCCAGGAAGGAGCAGGGGGCCAGGTGGAGATCTTCTCGCTCAACCGCACGGTGCCCCGCACGGTGAAGTCCTTCCCGGTGGCCTCCCAGGTGCTCTGCATGGAATACATTCCCGAGAAGAGCAAGGAGGAGCAAGAGCAGGGGAAAGCGGAGGATTCGAGGTCGGCAGCTGACCAGCCCTCCGCGCCGCATCCCACCATCTGTCTGGGACTGCAGGATGGCAGGTGAGGTTTGGGCCGGGGGCTCGGCCTGGCAGCCTCCTCCGTGGAGGCAGGTGTCCCCCAGCGCGGCCATGGCGACCGCCCCGTGGCCATGCTGCGTATCGAGCGCCAACAGCCTGCGAACACTAGCGCTACGCTCTAGCAGCGCCGTCGGCTGTCCAGCTGGCTGGCCCTTCGGTTGTTCTGTCTTTGGCTTTCCTCCTCCTCCCCTGCACCCCAGTAGTATTCTGGGGACAGCCAGCGTCTCCCCCCGCAAATCTCAAGTCTTACGTCCCCCTCACCCGCCTCCACTCCTAAAGCAATGGGCAGAGCTGGGCGTTGAGCTTCTCCACCCATCCTGGAAGGGGTCACTGATTTTTTAAGGCTGCTCCTCTCCAAATTCTTCCTGCCTCCTCCAGCCTGGACAGCGGAAGGCAGAGGCCAGGCCCGGGACAGGATCTGCAAATCAGATCAGGTAGATACCACCACCCCACCCCCCCCATCTATCCCGCATAGCCCTCCCTGCACCTCGTGGTCTTGTCTCCGCTTGATGCCAGAGGGATTCAGACTCCTCTGCCCATGCAGGTAAAAATAGTCTCCTTTAGGAGCCGGCTGTTGTGAGCTCTGGGCGTTGGCGGCAGCAGGACGTCTCCCACCCAGCCAGGACCCTGCAAAGACCAAGCTCTGGGCACCCATGATTTCCCCAGGCTTAGCTTTGGCTCTCTGTGGAAATCCTGGTGGGGGGTGTGTGTGTGTGTGTGTGTGTGTGTGTGTGGATTTGCCCACTGCTGTCACTTAGCTCCATTACTACGGGCAGCTGCCACCCGGTGACCCTAACCTGGTCGCATCCACTTGTCCCTAGGGTGGAGCCCTGCGTTTGGCATTGCAGACACCAGCCAGGCACGTCTTCAGTCCAAGAGCTCCCCGTTCAGACAGAGCTGCGGGAGCCATAGCTTCCTCCCTGGCTGGGATATCTCCATCCTGGAGGGAATGCATGTTCTGGCTTAAATCGTATGCATGGCAGAGCTGGGCCGTACCTTCCTCGGTCCGGGAGCAAATGGGGGGAGCAGAAACATGAGAAATCAGCCTGGGGTGGCATGTTCCGAACCTGCTGCGTGCAGGTGGATCGGCTGGATCTGCTCCCGCTAACCGCTCTGCGCGGGGGACTCCCGGTGCTGTCAGTGGCTGGCAGGACTGGACTTCGTACAGGTGCTCACCATGGTTACTCTGGGCTTTCCCACTCCTTCCCCCTCTCTTCAGCATCCTGGTGTACGGCAGCGTCGACACGGGGACTCAGTGCTTGCTGACCTGCCGAAGCCCGGGGCGGCAGCCTGTCCTCTGCCTGAAGCATAGCCCCGAGTACCTGTTTGCTGGACTGCAGAACGGCACCCTAGCTGCTTACGCCAGAAACAACGGTGAGTGTGGGAGTGGCGCCCAGGGAGGCGGGCGCTTTGCTTTTGACGTGCCCTCCCCAGGGATCTGGAATGAGGCTGGGGAGACAGGAATGGGTCTCCCAGCTGCGGGGCCAGTACCTTCGTCTCGCCTTTGCCCTGGCTGCAGTGGGGCCCCTAGTTAACCCTTTGCTGCTGTTGCATTGGAGCATCGCCCGCAAATCCGTGCCTGGAGCACGGGTGTAACACGCCCAGCGTAGCTGGGAGGGGCGGAATTGGATCTTCCTACCAGCTGCTGTGCTCAGACTCTGGCCAGAGTAATGCGGCTGTTCAGTAGGGAAGGATGAGTGAGGGGCATAGGTTAGCCCCTAGGGTGTGGGAGCCCTGCATTCAATTCCTTGCTGTGCCACTGACTTCCTCTGTGACCTTGGCCAAGTAACGTAACCTCTCTGTGCATCATTTTCCCCCCATCTCTAAAACAGGAATAGCAGCATTGCCCTGCCTCCCAGGGGGGTTGTAAGGATAAATACGTCTCAGATTGTGAGGCACTCGGCTCCTGCAGTACTGAAGGCCATAGACGAACCAAAGACAGATGATGTGATATTAAAGGGTCCCATATACAACAATAGTTAGCGAGATATCCAGGGTGCTGATTGGATTTACTGGCCTGCAGTTTTCAGTCAGTTATTGGCTATTCAGACACGGTAATTGTGGCCTGCATGCATGGTCCAGTCGGGATTGGATTGCCCTAAGTGTCTCAGGGGGTCGTCACAAGCAGGACAAATCTTAACTGACCCAACGGAGGGACAGGCTTGTCCGAACCGTCCCTGGACCCCGTAGGGAAAGTTGGTCCAAGTTTATTGCCAAGTGGTTTTTAAAACTTTCTTTCCTGCTATTGCAAATATATAGCTATATAGAGAGAGATGCTAATTGGCTGTTCAGAATGCAATTGCTGGAATTCAGGATTCGTAACAGCTGCAGAAATAAACTCCTATTTGAGAATTATAGACTAATTTCCTATTGATGGGCTGTCACTTCTCTCTGGCATAGAAGAC